GATAGACCTCTCTCTCTCTCTCTCTCTCTCTCTCTCTCTCTCTCTCTCTCTCTCTCTCTCTCTCTCTCTCTCTCTCTACATGTGTACAAATATATGCATATACAATTTCGCTCGTGCCCTGAAACGGTTTTCACCAGGAGGGAGGAGTAGAGAGGACAAGAGGTGCAGAGAGAAGAGAGGAGAGGACCAGCGACCGCCATGGTCACCATTCTGGTGTGTGTTTTCAATTTTATTTGTTTCCCCCCTTACCTCCTCCGATTCTTCTGCTTTCTGAGCTTACCTCTTCTCCGGGTCCGCGAAGGAGAGTGCGGCAGCTATGGCAGCTAGGGCTCCACCGCCGGCTATGGCCGTCGAAACAGTATCTGTATCGACGCCGCCGTTTGTCAGCGCGACGTTAGCCGTCGCTTGTGCGGCGGCATGTGCGGCGTCGGGGCCGAGGAGGGCGGCGCTACCGATCGCGGCCGCAAGCGCCGCCAATGACGCGGCTTTCCCCCCAACTCCCCCCGCCAATTCCGCCGCCGCCGCCATAGCCGTAGTAGTAGTCTTCATCACCTGTCCTTCTCCTCCTCCCTCCCCTTCTCTTGCTGGCCTGTCCATTGCGCTGACGGCACGTGGCAGCACACCGCCGTGTGACCCGCTGGTGGTCAGCATGACCATCGCTCGCCTGTCATTGCGCGCCAGGACGGTGCTGCAGCCAAAGAAGCTCTTCGCTTTCTCACTGCGCGCCACGTGCCTGGCCTGCGCAGCCGTCAGACAAAGGGAGCTTCTCTCTCTCTCCCCTCCGCAGCATCTTCCGCTGCGCGCCGCCGACGATCTACGGCGCCCTCGGCTCTCTCGAGACACGCCGGCTGCGGCTGTTGCTGCCGCTGCCGCCGCCGCCGAGGAGCACGACACCGCCCCCGCCATTTTTGGTAATTAGTCGGGATCTTACGATTAGCGAGGTATGCAGGTTGAATAAGATGCGTCGGGCTCGGGATAGGACTTTTCGAGAAGACGAAGACGACGACGATCACGAGTTGTCCGCAGCTATCGCGTTGACGTCACTGACTGAAGATCAAGCCCCCCGATCCCGACGAGGCCGAAGAGGCAGGTCAATCAATGCAAGGAGACGAAGCAAAAGAAATGTCTACCGGTAGCAGGAGGGGGAGGAGGAGATGTGGAGGAGGAGGAGGAGGAGGAGGAGGAGGAGGAGGAGG